TTTAATGCAAAACAGGTCCAGGGTTATGTCAAACAGATTGAAAGCCAAGAAGAAAGTGTTGTGTCCACAGTCAAGTGGACAAGTCTGTTTATTCAAGGAGATGCTGGGTGTTAGGACGTTCCAAGTATAATAATGATATGATCTAATGGAATAATATCAGTAATGAGTAATGACATCTACACTCGTGTGGGCGAGGGATCTGTTTATACGGTATATCAGCGTAGCATTGATAAGGAGGTTTGTTTTGCAGGCATACTTTACCCTTAGTACTACACAATTTCCTTGGAACTCCATCAGTTTTTCCGGAGGACAATAGCAGGCCTCATTAAGTAAAAAATTACCAAAAAACAATGTAACTTTGTTAGGGTTCCTACTAAATGAACACAACAGTTTGGGTTTGAGGAAATAGGTTTGAAGCAAGCTAGAATTTGGCAAAGAAGAATAAAAAAATGTATTGTATACAGTATTTTTTTAAGACGAAACTGAGAAATCAGCATGTATTATAACACATTGATAGGCTGTTATTTATTTAACTTTATAATTTACCATATTTATAGGAATAGAGCTACACCTTAAATTCTGATTTTACAAATGGCGAGGGTAAAAATACCCAAATAAGGCATATGCCCGGCCACTGTTGCAGAAATCAGTCGCGTCTATAGAGCATATCGCTAATATAAAGCCAAGCCATATTTTACCTAATAAAAGAGCACTTACTTACTTACTAAAATGTGCAACAGTGATTTACTACTTCCTCCCATCACGCCTATAATATACATATAAAAATACATATACACATTTATGTGGATGGTGGGCTTCAATTCCATACAATGTACTGTACGTTCAGATCTGCAATACTTCCTTCTAGTACAACAACAAGTCAGTGTGTCCATCCACTTAACCTGTCATCCTGGTGATTATTGCACCTTCAGTCCTGTGCATTGTACCAAACATGTTAAGTGGACGTGCGGCCGCTGGTGGCATTCACTGGAAAGTATGTCGTCTGCTTCCTGTGAAAACACTGCATTGTTGTGTTGGAGACAAAGATTTTCCAGCAAGTTGGTCAAAGTTTTCACAAGTTGAAGTGAGACTGAAATTGTTGGCCTCTGGTGTAAATAGTCAGAAAGTACAGTATTGCAGTATGTCTGTTTGTTAGTGAAAAGAAATATACTTTTAGTAGAACTATTTTTTATATATATATATATGTTGGAGATGTGTGATTTTAGCCTCCAACTTAAACTGTTTTCACACTCAATCCTCCAGTATTAGATAATTCTAGGGCCGTGAGAACATTTTGACGCACTGAAATATCGTGATATTTCGTTTCACGGTACTGTATCGATGTTCCACAGCACCGTGTTGATGTTTTTACTAACAATTAACATAGAAATATTTATGGCATTGGTTCATTTGATTTTGCCCTTATATATCGTCGTGCATATAGCATTGCAGTATATTGCGATATATTGTACAGTAGGGTCTGTATCACCAGATTCTTGCCCATGCACAGCCTTGGTTAATACAATATCAAATCTCCACTTCTGTTCACACTGATTCTAACTTGCGATTGGCTCCACACTCAGTACTCAATTTTTGTTCACACTCAGATGGTGTTAATTATGCGTAATTGCTAAAATTCACTCATTCATTCATTAGCACACTAGTTCTACAGCTTTGCAGCCAAATGAGTAAATTTGGGATCTAACCCACCATCTCAACCTGGATTAGTAAATGCTCATTTGTTTATTAGTGCACATTACTTTGCAGTGTGCGCACAAACATGGCTAATATTATATTCTGGGCCATCTGAAAACGGCACAAGTTAGTGTACATGCATGTTTTACCATAGCCAGCTTTGCAGCCAAATGAGTAAATTTGGGATCTAACCCACCCAACCTGGATTAGTAAATGCTCATTCGTTTATTAGTGCACATTACTTTGTAGTGTGCATGCAAACATGGCTAATATTATATTCGGGGCCATCTGAAAATGGCACAAGATAGTGTAGATGTATGTTTACCATAGCGTGGTGGTCAATCTTCATTGATTGCACATTACACCAGTAAGAGCAGAGTGTGAAGGTTCAATTAGTAATAGCATTGTTTTGCTTAAAATATTGCAATGCTCACAACATTAAGGGTGACATATCATTGGTGCACATCTTCATGTGTGACCAAGACGGCACATCTTTGTGATGTATCAAAAGCCACGGTATCCAGGGTAATGTCAGCATACCACCAAGAAGGACGAACCACATCCAACAGGAGTAACTGTGGACGCTGTCCAGGTACTAACCCAGATTGTATCCAAAAAAACATAAAACCACAGCTGTCCAACTCACTGCAGAATTAAATGTCCTCCTCAACTCTCCTGTTTTCACCAAAATTAACCCGGATTGCATCCAAAAAACATAAAACCACAGCTGCCCAACTCACTGCAGAATTAAATGTCCACCTCAACTCTCCTGTTTTCACCAAAAATGTTTGCAAGAGCTCCACAGGGTCAAGATACATGGCCAGGCTGCTACAGCCAAACCTTTGGTCACCAGGCGTTTCAGTTTCATTGTCCGTACCAACCACCCTAACTGGGATTCGAACTTGCCCAGGAGGTGAACCCTGGGGTTCCACACCAATGACAGAGACATTGACTCTGGACCAAAGCGCTACGTAGCTAATTTAGATTCAGTTTAATATATATATATAGTACATAGTACTTAGTTGCAAACCCAGGAGGTGAACCCTGGGGTTCCACACCAATGACAGAGACATTGCCTCTGGGCCAAAGCGCCACATAGCTAATTTAGATTCGGTTTAATATATACATAGTACTTAGTTGCAAACTGTAGGTTTGAATCTTGTTCTTTCATTAATGACCATCTAAAGCATTTTAATACATTTTAGAAAAGGTAATATTTATTAATAATTATATCAAGTAAGGATCCAGGTGCAAGGGACTCCGGGGCGGGAAGTGTCCACCGAGCCAGCAGTTAGAGTTAGAGATGAGTCCCCTGTCCCATGAATAATCAACTGTTAGTTTCAACCCAGATACATTTTTGTGTACGACATGATGATTCATTGTGTGAAACATGTGTCTTATCTAACGCTTTCACACATCCTTCAGTATGTTTGAGTGTTTGAGTGAGTGTGTGTGTGTGTGTCATTTGTTTTCCAGATATAGAGAGTGAAGGGAAAAGAAAGGAGGGGTATTGTTTTTGTTAAAGGAGTGGAATAATAGAGTAAGAGTTCCCCTCAGGGTGGGGCTGTGCTGTGATGTCATGCAGTTGCCATGATTACGGTATGGAATTGCTGAGAGTCCACGAGTAAACACTGTTTATTTTTCTGTGTGCTGTTGTCACACTAGACACACACACACTCATGGTAATAACTTTGTGTGATGTCAGATGTGTCACGCTGCCTCTGCTGGACGTAAGGCTCCTCTCCTTGTTACCTCTCGTACAATTAATGTCTATTTGCAGGTTGGTACGAGTGTTTATTTGGAGTGTGAATGACTTTCGTGTCGACAGACAGCTACATGATAAATACAGTTATTAAAAAGACATCGAGATCCGGCTGTAATTGTTGGCGCCAACTTGTGAATGGTCTGTGTTTGGATTTCACTTCTCCTGTCTTGATGAGATCTGAAGTGCTTTATAGCACTTTTTCTTTTCCATTCACACCCTTTGACTTTTGTACTTGTTAGCTATGTCTACAGGTAGTGTTTACTATTTAGCAGTAGACGTTGCTGTTCATATTCACATTTAGCCTACACAGCAACCAGGACCAAGCAGAGTCCTTAATGACTACAACAGCACGCCTCAAATAGTGGGGCGGGCCCTCTGGGGGTGAGGCATGGGGGGGCTTCCAATGGAATATGGCACGCTGGACATAAGTGTACCACTGCTGTAATGCTTGAATGATAACAAGCCTCCAGTCACTAGGTGGTAGCAACTCAGACAGTGGTTTGTACAGATAAAAATGGTACCAGGTTCTCAATAATATTTCAATTTGCGGGGTTGTGGGAAGGCATGGAAACATATCTTTCCCCAAGAGGGGCGTGACAGAAGATAATTGAAAACCACTGGTCTACACCAATGTGATGCCCGGGGGCACCTGGTGGCTCCTGTGGACTACCTAAGGTGCCTGTAGGGTATGTTCTAGAAATCAAACAAGTCAACAAGAGGGTCAAAAGTTGTACTGTTGTATTGTATTGTACAGTTCAACTTGCAATGATATTCAAATGGGTGCAGTGACAATTGTAAGAAGAGTGTCTGCTATTGTATGTCCCAGAACTAATTATTATTACATTGTTCAGTAGTGCTTCATATTACTAAGTATCCTTGAAGTAGCTCAAAAAAGAATCACTCTACACCTTATTATGTATTATCACAACAAAACAAAAACACCTTCTTTTCATACTTTCAAGTTAACTTTCACTTTAGGCCAGTTGTCTCTAACCATTGGATCCTAGACTGGGAAAAATGCATTCAAAAATGAAAGCTGTGAAAGAGTTTTCATAGTCAAAGTCTGCAGGATTCTCACATAATTATAAGTACATTTGCATAGCTAGACCAGTGTTTCCCAAATTTTTCGAACCAGGACACACACAACTATTTTATATTTCAAAAAATCCTATGATGCACCAGCACACAAAAATGTCAAAAAAATTAATGGAAACAATGGTCTTCTGGTTTCAATTTACTGATAATTTACTTACTAGGTGTGACACCTGGGCCTGTTTAGTTGAACACAACACTGATGTACTCACAGGAATTGAAGAAAGACACACATGAAGATTTTTCTCAACATCTCTGAGTGTCTCTTTTTTATTTTTCAGTCCCCTCTGCTGCCCTCTATGTCATTAAAATGTAAAAACAATATACAGAATTTCCAAAAATATGCAACAAATACAAGAAAAATCCAGCATGGCAGATCAACAGTATGATAGCAACATTTGGATATATTGTAATATATTTTCTCTGTTGTTTTTTTTTTTTTAACCAGTGTGTGGCTCTGAGCTGGCGCAGGGAGGCTTCTTCGTGCGACAGGGTGAGTACATCTGTACCCTGGACTACCAGAGACTGTACGGAACTCGCTGCTTCAGCTGCCAGGACTTCATCGAAGGAGAAGTGGTGTCGGCCCTGGGCAAGACCTACCATCCCCGCTGCTTTGTCTGCGCCTCCTGCAAGTAAGGATCTATCTATCTAGCTATCTATCTATCTATCCATCCATCCATCCATCCATCCATCTATTTTACCTAATTTATTCCAACCTCTTCCTGGTCACATTTTGGTCTTTCTGTATCTGTGTGACCTTAAATCCTGAAACAAGGAGTACTTTTATAAAGGTTTGTAATAGTTTCTTACGAAATAGTCATGGGTCATGGGTTTCATTTTCTTTTTTGCACCCCCCCCCCCTTTGAAACAGAGCCTTTTGTCCTATTAGACCCTCCTCCACCACCACCGTCCCGGTTCACACATTCACAAATACAGTACTGTAATTACAGTCTCGTTCAACAAAGAAACTGAAATTCTAAATTAGTTTCCATGACGACCTCTGTCATGGTAGTATATAATTATACAGGGGCAGGTGTCACCTGTTACCAAGTATGTGTAGCTTTCATTTGCAGACATGCACATAAACTGTAAATCAGGGGTCACGACCTTTTTGAGACAGAGCGCTACTTCAAGGGTACTTGATGCAGACTTCCCAAACAATGTAATAGTCATTAGTTCTGGGACATACAATAGTAGACACTCTTCTTACCATCGTCACTGCAGCCATTTGAATATCATTGCAAGTGGAACTGATTCAAAAAGAACAGTAACAGTACAACATTTGACCCTCTTGTTGACTAGTTTTATTTTAAGAACATACCCCGCGTGCACCTTAGGTAGTCCACGGGGGCTACCAGGTGACCCCTGGAACCACGTTGGTGACCCCTGCTGTAAATGTATAGGCAGAGTCACGTCACGTGGTCCCTTTCATCAGCTGCCATTTACATTAATGTCATAACACGAGTGTATACGATCGTTGGTGTGGTTACTGTGCCTTTCCCTTAATTAGTGATAAGTAGAGTGTACAGTATGTGTGTGTGTGTGTGTGTGTGTTTTTGTATCACACCACAGTGAACCCTGTGCTGAACCTGAGATCAGAATGTTCCAGCAGCGTGTGGTTTTGAGGGGCTGTAACGTGATCGTCAAACTTCTCTTCTCCTTTCACAACATTAAGGCTTTTGTGATGAACAAACACTCAGGTTTATTGTGTGTTTGATTCAAACGGGGCAAAAAATAGTGCAAACAGTGCTGTGGGAAATGAGGGCCCCAGACTCTGCCGAGAGAATTTATATGCAAACAGTGCTGTGGGAAATGAGGGCACCAGACTCTGCCGAATTTATGTCACAATCACACTGTGGGTATGATCAATACAGAAATTCATTAAAACTACTATAATGTATGTGTTCCAATGCACCCTTTTGTTTTGTTTTTTAATTTATGTTAACATTATTTTTTTTATTTCATTTATCGGCTGTGCAGCTAGCCACATTTTTAGACATAATTCATGCATTTAAACCAATGTTAACTCAGAGTTGATTGTTGACCTCAATAATAACAATAATAATTCTGAAGTAACATAACCAGGCTACCCAGAGATCACGCACATACGTGGACACAGAAAAGTCATTCATTTATTTAAATTCCCATTAAGTGTCTACCTTAAATTTTGCCCTCACTGACATGAATTATTATTTTGAAAGAAACTGATCAGTCGGTGAATTTTCTTTTTTTAGGAATGAGCATCATCTATTTTTGTGGATTGATCACAATTAATCATGAATAAATGTGATGCATCATATTTTAATCATGAATAATTGTGATCATAATGAATCATGATTAATTGTGATGAATTGAAATACATCAACTAAAACACTGAAACATACACGTTTTTTACTGTGTTTTGTTGGAACATACATCAAAATTAGTAAAGCCATTGTATTCAACAGTATTAATCAGCCCCTCGCTATCCATTTGGCAAATGTCAGTATGCTTGTCAACTCTAGGCTTACTTACCTCCCAGTGCACAGCGAGGCTAGTCTGACAGAAGCCAAGCATCTCACCTGAGCTTGAATCCCCCATAAACACATCGTTGCGTTGAAATGGTATTTTCAATTAGACTTGATTCGGTGAAACAAAAAGTTTTACCCACAGTGTGTGTAAATTACACGTCTATCAATTTTGTATTAGAGCAACAAAAAGTGACAGTAGAAGTGTTTATAGTAATGATCTCCATATCTGTAATTAAAAAAAAGTATGACAAATAATAATATATTGCTTAAAAATCTGTCAATCATCCCAGCCTTTTCATAATTTGTTTTGTTAGTGGAAGGATATGCTAACAAAACAATGAAAAGTCCAACATTTGGAAATTAAATGTTAATATGTTTGGGTTATTCCTTGGGCATAGAAAAAAAACAAACACAAACTATAAATAAATGTAACCCTAGAAATATTACTCAACACACCCCCCCAGATGAAAACACAACTTTCCGCCTGTTTACTTGTGCGTAGCATATAATTTGCCCTTTCTCACCTTGCGTGGTCGTGTACCTCCCTCAGTAGTTCAGTCGTGATGGAATGACTGCGGCTCAAATATCACATTTCTGAGCAGTGGGAAGCGACACATGGCTGCCAGTGCAGAGTCAGAGCTCCCTGCCAAGGAGTCGTCAGTCCATCTGAAGGTGACTCAGCAACAGCAGCTTCGTTTGAACAGCATGTTCGGTGGGGACACTGCTGTTGTAAAAATAATATGACTCTTCTCTGTAAATCTTCACCGCAAAAAACATTACGCAGTCTTATTCAAACAAAGTAGCTTAAATAGCCTAGCTAGCAACGTTAGCACTAGAAAGCACTGTATTTAATCTGTCATCTGCGTGACTTTGAAGCTCATATTGCTGCGTTGAAGCACTTTTGTTGTTGTTTTTTCCTCTCAGGGTGAATTTTAAACTTGGCTTGCTAACACGCAACATAGCAATAGTGATGCTACATTGACTTGAAAGTCCTACATTTATTATATTAAGGTTGATCAGAACAGGCTACTGTTTGTTATTGCACTTTGTAGTAGCTCCTTCCATCCTGAAGACTTAATAAAGATTATAAAATAACAATCCCCATCATCCCCAAAGTTTCCCCATCATTGCAGAAATAGAGAAAAAGTTTGTCTTGAATGATAACAAGCCTCCAGTCACTAGGTGGCAGCAACTCATACAGTGGATTGTACAGATAAAAATATACATGTCAGGTTCTCAATAGTATTTCAATTCGCAGTGGTTTGGGTCGGACGGGGGAGGGGGCATTTCTGTCGGACGGAAATGAAATTGAGAACCACTGCGTTAAAGTAATTTAAAATCTGAACCCAGATCATCATCAACAACAACAGATTGTATTGGAATTCCAAGGACGTACCTGATGCTCTATCTGTTTTGGTTTTTTTTCCTCACAGACAACCATTCCCGGCTGGCGACCGAGTGACATTTAACGGGAAGGAGTGTATCTGCCAAAAGTGTACCCAGCCTCTCCCTGACGACAGTCCTGCACCGATACAAGCGGTCCAGAGTCAGTGCTCTCTCTCTCTGTCTTGTTTGTCTCCCTCTCTGTTAAATTGGCTGAAAATCAAGATGTCCACTGTCTCCCAGATTGTTGTTTTTCATTGATTTTTTTTTTTTTTGAAGTTGTTGCTTGTGTGTATGTTCTGTGTGTAGATTGCTGCGGCTGTGGCAAGGAGTTTAAGAACGAACAGTCTCTGGTGGCCCTGGACAAACACTGGCACCTGGGCTGCTTCAAGTGCCACGTCTGCAGTAAAGTGCTCAATGCTGAGTACATCAGCAAGTAAGTGCTGACTCGCTAACAGCTTTAGCATTGTATTTTTACACCGCGCATATTATACCGTTAAAATATTCTGGTTGTTGAAAGATTACACATTTTATTGTGGGTCGATCACGATTAATCATCAAATATCAATGTTACTTAATATGCCAAAAAAAGTATGAAAATACTTTTTGCTGTGTATTGCTAGAACAGAAAGGCAACTAAGCAGGTAGATGTATGTGTTTTACATCTGTTTGTTTATGTGTGACTTATTAGTATGTATGAATGTCAAGAAAATTATGACTCAAAATTTAGCTTCATAGAGTTGGTGGATTTTAATTATCGCTGTCCGTTATTGGAGTTACTTTTCGAACTTGAGTGAAGCCATGTGGGCTGTAAAAAAAAAGAAAAAAGTGTATTCAGATGAATCATAGGGTATTTGTTGGTTAGTGATGAATAATCATGAGTAATTAAAATAATGTGTCAATCATGGTTCACCTCCACAAGTTGCGAAGGTATTGCAAATTATAACCCATAAATGGGTGTTTGC